CTCACCTCCAAGCCCAGCCCCGCGCAGGAGGGAAACAGAGGAACCGCCGACTCGCTGCCCCCGCCCCAGGCCGGCGCAGCCGCAAGCGAGAGCCGGCTCCCGGGGCTTCTGCCACCGACAAATCCCTCAGCCCGCCGCTGGTGCGGGGGCTGCGGGCCCTGTCACTGCATCCCCGCGGCTGCAAACTTAACTTACCTGCACAGCCTGCTTGGTTTCAGGTACACTGCGTGCTATTACATCTTTTCTGGACAGAAGCTAATATATTCTCAAGGAAAATTATTTATGGCAGAAGGGGGGTTGCTGGTATAAGTGAACCAGTCAGTCGGGTGAGCAGCACAGACACTTGCTTGGGTTTTGGTTTATAAAGATAGGATGGAAAAGTTTCTGGACTAGTGAGTTGCAGCAGGGTGAAAACTGGACAAACAGCTTTCCCAGTGCCTTTACTCATCTTTTACATAGAGTAGAGTAAGGAACCTTCAGCACCATCCTGTCACTTCTAGAAATCTGTGTTCCAGTTTGTGCTCGAGGTTCAGTGGAAGCAGGTAGGATCTATTCCTTCGTGAAGATGATGTACAACAGACACCAACGTTAAGTAAGCAATACCAGAACTTAAAACAAATTTGTTTTGTAATATAGTGCCTAGATTCACTGTGTGGTAACTCTTTACTATTTAATCTTTAATAATTGCCTCAGACACTTATTTTCAAATAGTTGGTGAAGCAAGGCTGAAAGGAAATTAAAGGAAGGGGAGAACAAAAATTGGATTATCTTATATACCAAGTGGCACAGTGACTAAAGCCAAACCCAGCAAGTTCCAAGCACAGTCCACTCACCTCTCATTAAAAAGGGGAGGTTAGGACACTTCGTACTATTCAAACCCAAGCACTGAATGTCCAGACATGACTCAGTGCTGATTACAAAAGAGCCTCGTGTTAACTTTCTACACAGTGACCTGGCTTACAGTGATTTCATTGTGTGATAACACTTAGTTCACTGAAATAATAATTAAAAACAAAAGAAAAACTCCCCTTTAGATTGATTTTGTAATAGTAGTGCAACAAGAAGCTAATCAAAACATGACTTTTATTTTTAATTATAGAACTAAAAAGGCTAATATTTTATTAACATAAGGTTGCAAATTTAAAAGAGAAATGTCAGAACTCTTTAAAAATCTCCACTGTAAAAATGCAGAAGACCAGTGCTTTAAACATCGCCATAACATACTACAGGATAGGTCCTCCCTCCCCTGCCCCTCCGTCCCTTCTTCCAAGGATCATTGAGAAAACACCTCATTGACATATTTCATCTGAAACTTCAAATGACCATTCTAAAGCAGATACTTATCACAGTAATTTTCAGACCAGTTTGTGTATCACACAAATAAAAAGCAACTTTAAATGAGAAATATTCAGAAATTAACTATGGATATTACCATCTACTCCGCAGATTTCATTTTTTGCAGAGCAGTAGTTGAATACAAGTATTTGATAAATCAGATCATTCACAAATGCATGCCTTCCAGGTTTTCTTCTTACCCCATTTCATTTTTTTTTTCTTAAAAAGTAATCTTCAGCAGTCCATCTAATGCCAAGAATATACCTAAGCACAGCTTTCCCTAGAACTAAAAATGTTAACTTCACCATTGCAAAGCATCCTATGTCACAAGTTCTCACCATATGATGAAGCGTACCTTTAGTGACTTATTTAAACTGGAATATATACAAGTTCTAAATATTTGACTTCATACAGGGATGTCTTTCTTGGAAAACCACAAATACTCTGTCAAAATACTGACTTGAAGAGCAAAGTCAGGAATATGGATGAACACCTACGATCAATGATTTTCCTTCTACTATGGCTTGAAAGTATTTTTGTTTGCATTGATGTTTAAAAGAATAACTAAGCTCGTTTTGTCTCTAGAAAGTGTTTGAAAATAAAAGTGGAATCTAACAAGACATGTATGCATGGGGCAGAACTGCTGTAACAGTTAACTACCTCACTTTCACATTTGGAGAGATGAAGAGCAGATTTGTCTGTAAACACATGATGCAGCATCATTACATGACCCAAGCCAGCCATGTCTGAAGGACAAACTCACCACAACTTAGAGAAGACTCGGAAGGTAGCCTTGGCTCAGCAGTACTCAAAAGCTAAGACCTGGTTTAGAGAACTAAGGTGTGGACTGTTTCCTCAGCAGTTTTGCCAGAACTTGAGTACAATTTGGTTTCCACATCCAGTTAAAAAAAAAAAAAAAATTAAAAAAAAAAAAAAAAGTGATTTATTAGGTTATTGCAGTGGACATTTTGGCAGAGAAAGCAGGCATACTGAAGTATGCATCTGTTATTTCCAAAAAAAGACAAACAATTTCACTGGTCTGGTTTAGAGAACTGGCCTGGACTGCACAGAAGGCAGCATTTAATTCAGACAGATGATAGGGAGAAGGAGAAGGGCAGAAATAATACACCAGGGACAAAAAGGAATCTGCAACCAGCTTTGCTTGTTTGTGTCGAAGGAACTGTATGAGAAAATAAACTTCAGAAAACTAACAGTACAATCCACTGCGCTACAAAGATCTCTTGCACAGCTTGGAAGAAGGACGCACTGCTAAGATATTAAAAATCACATCCTTGTAATCCACTGAGTTCACAAGCTGTGAGCTAAGACACAACAAATTCAAGAGAAAAAACTAGGACATTTTTTTGCTGTAAGCTTCAGCTGGTCACAGTGGATTAGAGGAAATCCTTCAGCCAGCAAGAGAAGCAATTGCAATGGAAAATCCCAGCTCCCACTGGGCAGCCGCTACCATCCTGCAGGTGCTGTTCATGGGCACACGGACGCGCGCACTGAAATGAAGACAAGCATCTCATTTTCAAGTTGATTTTTGTAAATGAAAAAAAAACTGTATAAAATCTATCCATACATTAACAGATACAGGAAATTACACAATCCAGTTTACACCTAAAGTAATAGCAATCAATTCATAATAAGAACAGGGAAAAATTCCAATGCCGTAATTTGTCCAAAGTTACTACAGGGCAGAGGATGGCAGGAGGAGGGGTGGTTGGCTGCTTTTTTTTTTTTTTTGGTGTGGATAAAACTGGCTACCTTCCCTACTTCCAAAGCAATGAGACAATTTCAACAGACATGTATTTGGAATACTCTTGAAATGCATCTGACTCTAGCATTAACACTGAATATTCAAAGATTCATATTATTACAGCATGTTTGGATACTTTTGCCTCCAGGAAAGGGCAGTGGGCACTAGATATTATCCAAGAGAAAACCTGCACCTGTCTTAGAATTTACAGCATTGATTGAGTTAAAGAATTTATTTTACGATTTTTATCCATCCTGGAACACTTATAAATTTGTGTATCCTCATCTCAGACATTTACAAAGCATGCAGAGACTGTTACTACTCAAGGAACATTTAGGAGGCTATGGAAAATGCGCTGGTGGGTACTGGTCTAATTTTAGTGAACTCATGTCTACCATTATGTGCAAGACACACCTGGCAGTAGTTTTCCCCTCATGCCTCCATTTACTGGAGGCCCCAGAAGACAAGGCTTGAATGAACGGGCACGGAAGCTCAGGTACATTTTAAAGAATAAAATGAAAAAAATACCAGCAGGGGCCAGCTTGTGGGAATGCCTGCCCTGCTACTGGTGTACCTGTGGGTGAACAGTGTCAGCCTAGGGCTCAGAAAAGATGCCTGACTGAATTTTAAAGGAAAAGGGAGGCACCTTAAACCCTGAAAAGACACACTTCCTGTGTTTGACAGGTGTATTCAATACACGCACACAAAGCAAGACAGTAAGCTGTGCTCATCCACCCAGAAGACTGCACCATTTTTCTGAACACATACAACATACAACCCCTTTTCAAAATAACAACAACAATAATAATAATAAAGCAGAAGTGCAGAATCCAGACTGTTGGGTGGTCTGTGTTTAAAAAACGTAAGAAAGAATAAAAGCTAATGCTGTAAAGACAACTATTCCCTTTCAAAGCAAAGGCCACATAAAACTGTGTTGCTCAGTTTGGTTTTTACTTCATGCCACCTGTAAACACAAGACTGGATATTCAGTTTCTGGGAAGAAATGAAACCACTTTTACATCCAGAGTAAAAGAAGGGCCCTCCACTGCCTGGATCACAGATTACCCAGGAAAAAGTAGCTGGGGGAAGGCTGCTTCTTCTTGTTTGCTCATTTCATTAGAAAGGTCATATCTGAACAAAAGAGCTTTCAAT